GCCACTTCGCCTCCTCCCAGACCCTGTCGCCACAGTCCCCCTACACATACCTTGCCAGCACGTTTGTTTTCGGCACATACTGTACGCTTTCATGCTGCTCCACCTCCGCACATGCTGGGCCTCCTACGTGCACTGTCCTTGTTCCCCAAGGAAAGGGTCCGTTTGTTCCTCTACTCTCCCTCTTCAGTCCCAGGTCCTGTGCCACCTCCCCAAGGAGCCTCCAGGTATACATATCTGTTATTTGGCATCCACTCCTCATCTTCCGTTGCAGGGAGCCACCCCTTTTCCTTGTCTCACAGTCTCCTGGTTTGGGTGGAGATGACCGCCCCCACCTCCACCCTCAGTGCCCAGCCCCAGGGTGGTGTCCATGATCCAGATCCAACCAATCAGCAGATTCCTGGGCCCTAGGCAGAGGTGAATACCACGTGGGGGAACCTGGCCCAGTGAGAGTCGGCCCGAGCGTGTTTGCTCACCAGGGGTGCCAAGCTGATGGTTTACCTGCCTGGAGCCACTGGGGGCCATCTTCCCCATGAAGGATTCCTGACAACATGGTATGAGCCCCTAGATCCAACTGTACCTGAAGCCACAGACTTCAGTGACCCATAAATACTCATCACCAATTTCTCAATTTTCTGAAAGTTGTCCTGTCGTTTTTTTTTTAATCTCAGTACCCAAGTACCCTTCATATCAGCAGACAGTAATGTCTGCTTAGCGACTTTCATTGGAAAAGTTTGAGGGAGTCCCTGAGCAATTCCCATGCATCTTCCTCAACTCTCCACTGTACTCCCTTTGCTTGGTCACACTGCAAGTTCCTTTATGAGTCTTCCATATTCAACTAAGGAGGGCAGGGATAGAGATTGACTCATCCTGAGCCTCCGGGGCCCCAGCCCTGCCCTGACACCCAAGAGGAATTCAATGAAGTTTCTGCTGAATGAACAAATGACTGGATAGGGGACCAGGGCTATTTCACCTCATGGCATTTCTGGGGCTGTGTCAGATACCTCTGAACCGAAACTAATTCTACACAGCAGCCAGAAGGATCCTGGGAAAACCTAAGTCAGGCCTCATCACTCTTCCACTCAGAGCCCTCCAAGGCTCCTATTTCACTCTAAGAAAAGCCAGTGTCCTCACCGTGGCCTTCAAAGCTCTGCAGGATCCGCCCCCTCTCACTGGGCTCCAGCCACACTGGTTTCTTGCTGTTGCTCTCTCTCCAAGCACATCCCAACTCAAAGCTTGGTACCCGCCAACCTCTCTGCCTGGGAAGTCCTTTCCCTACACGCCAACGGTTCCTTCCCTGCTCCCTTCTGATCTTTGCTGAAACATCCCTTTCTTGGTGAGGCTGTCCCTGGCCTTCTACGTAAAATTCAACCTCCCCGTAGCATCTAGCACTTTGTATCCCCTTCTGCACTTGTTTTTTCTGCATAGTACTTCTCATCATCCAAAATAACTATATAGTTTACATATTTTTTAGTCTCCCTCACCTGAAAGTCAGCCTCAAGGGAACAGGAGTGGTTTGTTTCTTCTCAGCTGTCTCCCTGATGCCAAGGACAGTTACTCAGCACTCAATCAACATTTGTTAAACAAATGAATGATTGAGTAAATGAATGAAAAAACAAATGAACTGTGAGGACGTAGGAAATCCAGAGCGAAAGGATCTTGGCTCATGAACATCTGAAAGGTCCAGGGCCTAGAAGTGGCCATGGACAGGAAACAGAGTAAAGCCTGGTCCTCAAATTAAGATGCCTTAGGCTGGGCATGGTGGCTCATGCCTATAATCCCAATACTTTGGGAGGCTAAGGCAAGAGGATTGCTTGAGTTCATGAGTTCAAGACCAGCCTGGGTAACATAGCGAAACTGCATCTCTACCAAAAAATACAAAAATTAGCCAGGTGTAGTGGCAGGGGCCTGTAATTCCAGCTCCTCAGGAGGCTGAGGTAGGAGGATAGCTTGAGCCTGGGAGGCAGCAGAGGTTGCAGTAAGCCAAGACTGCAAGACTGCACTCTAGCCTGGATGATAGAGCTGGACTTTGTTAAAAAGGAAGGAAGGAAGGAAGGGAGGAAGGGAGGAAGGGAGGAAGGGAGGAAGGGAGGAAGGGAGGAAGGGAGGAAGGGAGAAAGGAAGGGAAGGGAAGGGAGGGAAGGAAGGAAGGAAAGAATGAAAAGAAAGAAAAGAAAAGAAAAAAATTAAGGAGAACAAATTAAGATGGCTTGACCTAAGTTTAGCAAGTGTGCATCCTTTCTATTAATTACCTGTCTAAACATAGGTTGTATGTGAAGATGTCCCCCACTGGAGGAAATCCCTTAATCCTCTAAGCCCCTCACTGTGGAGGGAAGAGCTTCCCAGGGAGAGAGTCGGGGGCAGTGGGAGGGGGAAGAACCCAGGTTTGGGACGCAAGTATCTCCAGCTGCAATTCCCAGGCCTCCTGTTGGTGACACTACAGCACTGTCGCAACCAGAAGTCACACAGCACTGTGTCCCCCCTGCACCAGAGACCTGCTGTGGCTTTCCCTGAAGCTCCAGGGAGAAGCCAGAAGGGAAATTGAACTGTATGAATATCCTCTTGCAGAAGGCCGGCTTCCAAATGTCCCAGCTGATACTTGGAGCACCCACTATAGCCAGTCACTCTCCTAAGGGGCTGTATCTGTACCAGCTGGCTTAATCCCTAGTCAATCCTATGACAACCACTATTGTCATTCCCATTTTACAGAAATAACAACCACACTGAGAGGTGAAGACATTTGCCCAAGGCGACACAGTTTGTAAGTGACATAGCAGGAACTTGAACTTGGGCAGTCTGACTCCAGAATCCCAATATTGGGTGCAATATAAAATAAAAACTCACATTCACTCACCATTTACCAGATATAGGTGATGAGCTGAGCACTGTAAGTTCATTTTTTCACATCATTCTCACAGCTGCCCTGTGATAAGGGTATTTGAGCGTGACCAGAAAAGTTGGCAGACTCTCCCAGGTCAAAGTGGAATGGCGGAACAAAGTGAGAGGAATTGGGGCTAGAATCCAGTTCTGCCCCCAAAGGCTATAAAGAGAGCCCAATCCCTGGTCCCTGTTGTGAAGTGAGCAGTGTAAGAATTCTGCGGAGGACAGAGACCAGCAGCTGTGACTTGTGCCTCCCCCAGCACCAACACCCAGCCGTCGCTCTGCCCATAAAAGACACTCAGTAAATGGCTGTTGGGTTGACTTAGCAGGAATAGGAGGCGCAGGAGCAAGGGGCTAGGGCTAAGCTGAGTGTCCTTAAGAAGACTTTGACCTCTCTGGGCCTCAGTTTTTTCTCAGGCTCTGGGGCACTGTGATGTGGGGGTTAAGAGGATGGACTCTCCTGTCAGAGCCAGAACTGGTCACCAGTTTTACCATCAATCCACCATGACAGGCCACGTGGCACAGTGGTTAGGAATGCAGACTGGAGCCAGAATGCTGGGGTTCCCTCCCAGCTTCTCCTCTCCATAGCTGTGTGACCTTGGGGAACTCACCTCACATCTCTGGGCTTCCCCATCTACAAATGGGATAATAATGCCCACCTCCTAGGCTTACCTATATCATAGCCAGTGTTAGCTCCACAGAATGACTCAGAGCAAGGTTTGAAAAGATAATTCAGGGCTGGGCGCGGTGGCTCACGCCTGTAATCCCAGCACTTTGGGAGGCCAAGGCAGCTGAATCACAAGGTCAGGAGATCGAGACCATCCTGGCCCATATGGTGAAACCCCTTCTCTACTAAAAATACAAAAATTAGCTGGGTGTGGTGGCATGTGCCTGTAATCCCAGCTACTCGGGAGGCTGAGGCAGGAGAATTGCTTGAATCAGGGAGCTGGAGGTTGCAGTGAGCCGGGATCATGCCACTGTACTCCAGCCTGGTGACAGAGCAATCATCTCAAAAAAAAGAAGTCCAGCTTAAAACCCTTTTCCAACTTCTCGTGGCATTTGCAATAAAATCTGAACTTTTCACCATGGCCTACAAAGCCCTGCACACCTGTCTGCCATCCCTTTGACCTCGGTGCCCTGCCCGCTGTGCTCTGGCCATCCCGGCCTGGGCCACTCAAGCTCATTCCTGCCCGAGGGCCTTTGTACCGTTGCTGCCACCTGGAAGCTCTTTCTCCAGATCTCAGCAAGACCCTTTTCTGAGGAAGGTCTCAGCTCCAAAACGTCCTACTCCAGAAAACCCACCTTGACCACCCACCTAACGAACCCACACCCTTGGCCTTCACGCCACCCCATTTTGTGGGTTCCACAGCACCTTATCTCTCTCTGAAGTTATTCATAAACGTGTTTACCCAGCTGCTCAACCAGAATGCCAGCTCCATGAGAGAGAGGATCATTGTCTATTTTGTTCATTGCTGAATCTCCAACCCCTACGCCAATGTCTGGCACATAGTAGGTGCTCACTCAAGAATCAATGACTGACCCTTCGAGGCTTCTGAATGCAGAGAGAAAAATAGAGCCCTAGTCCCGAGTGGTAACAAAGCCATTCCCAACTCGTCCCACCCCAATGCTGTATTAGAATCTCCTTCTCTGCCCCCTCTCTGCAGAATCACGTCCAGAGGAGGGGGTTCGTCTGTTTTGTTCAAGGGTTCGCTCGCGACAGCGTCCCCAGGCCCACAACAGCGCCTGGGGCACAGGGAATCCATGAACTGCTTTGCTCCTTTCGGAGCCTCCATTTGTTCATCCGCAGACCAGGAACAACAGCACTTGCCCGGGGCTGTCGGATGAAGGCGCTCGGGAGAGTGCCTGGGCCTGAGTGGGCGCCGCAGCAAGTGAGGGGCCACTTTTTCCGGGGCAGAAAGGACGATGGAAGAAAGCGCGACCGAGCCCCGTCCCAGCTCCCGCCGCAGGCCTGCAGTCCCGGGCCGGCCATCCAAGAGGCGGTATCCGGCCGGGGCGGCGCAGGGGGGGCCAGGAGGCGCGCACTCTTGGGGGCGCGCGGAGGCGGTGTCTACACCCCGGTAAGGGATCGGGCTTCCAGCCGGCAGCGCCTGATCAGGACTTACCCATGGCTAGCGGGACTCCGCGGCGTGCTGGGGGCGCTGGGGGGCCGGGCGCGCATCCCCCGGGCCGGAGTCCCCAACGCCGCGGACAAACTTTCCTGCCCGCCCCCGCCTCTGTCCCTCCTGCCCTGTTATCCCGTGCACAGCGCCGCCAACGCCACGTCGGCCAGCCAGGCCCCGGAGCCTGGAGGCGGGACAGAGGGAAGCCCGGGACCGCCCCCGGCCGCCCCAGGCCTGGCAAGGACCCCCTCCCTCGCCCACTGTCCTCCCGGGGGCCCCCACCCGCCGTCTCCCGGGTCCTCTTCATTGGTAGCCCTCCCCTGGAGGGGACACACTGGCCAGCCATCCTCCCTAGTAGAAGACCCCACACGCACTGTCTTCCCCGGCCTCTTTGCAGGGAAGAGGTGTCCCAATCACTGGTCCACACTTGTCTGGCCTCCCCAGCGTGCGCACACACAACACACAACACACACAACACACACATCTACACCGAGTGAGACACTCGCGCATACCCACCGGAGCCGCTCACTCTCCATGGATTCTTCCCTCATTCACTCCACGCTTGCGTTTGCACACCACCACATGCCAGGCACTACGCTCCGCTCGGGATGGGCCGAAGAACAAAACAGACAGGTCTTTTGTTTACCTTCTGGGAGGGGAAGACGAAAAAGAAACAACTAAAGGATCCTGAGAAATATCAGCTAGAGATAAAGACTAGGCAGAGAGTTAAACTAGGGTGGTGGGTTAGGCAGGCACAGGTGGCTGCTTTAGCTCGCTGATCTTAGGAGAGGATATCTGAGCAGAGACCCGGCATTCCCCGCAGAGGGAACAGCAAAGGCAAAGGCCCCGGGGTGGGAAGGAGCTTATGGGGTATAAAGAACGCAGAAATGAAGCCAGAGTGTCTGGAGCAGAGGAGAAGACAGGGAGAGAGGAGGGAGATGGGGGCTAAGGGAGGGGCTTTGGTGGGCCAGGGTCAGGAATGTAGATTTCACCCCCATCAGCAGAAGAGATAACTGGGGAGTTCTAACTGGTTAAGGGCGGGAATACTCAGCCTCCGGACGTGGGAGGCTGTTGCAAGGTGAGAAGTTGGTTTGGGCTCATGTCACAGTGGTGAGGTTGGAGAAAAGTAGGCAGATCACATATACATCAGTAAGAACTTACAGACTGGAAGACTGGGAAAGGAGATCCAGAGTTCTGTCTTGGCTGCGTGACATTTGAGATGCTCAGGAGGTATCCACGTGGAAATAGGTGGGCAGTTGGCTATGAGCCTGGGATTCTGGAAAGGGGTAGGCTGGGGACACCACCATTAATGCTCACTTGGGCAAAAATGCATGTACAAGCCCAGCACTCACATGGGCACAGCCTCATCCAGCCTCTCAATACGTGTTCACAGATAGGCACCTTCGCACATGTGCACCTGTAGCTGTACCCTCACCAGCCAAAGTCACAGCGACCCCTACCGTACAGGTGGATACACAGGCATTCTTCCATGCTACAGGCACAAGCAGGTATCTCAGCAAAGATAACAGCATCCACAAGACCTCTGACTAGGGGATCCTTGCACAGTTTCAAAAATAATAATAGCTGGGGCAGTTTGAAAACATGGCTCCAGAATTCGTTGTTCCTTCCCTTGAAATCAAAGTGGGCTTGTGACTGGTTTGATCAGTAGCCTGTAGAGTGACACTGTGTAACTTCTGAGACTGGGTCACTGGAACACTGGTGCCTGGATCCCTGAGCCTTCATGTAAGAAGTCCGATTACACGGAGACCCTCCTGGTATTCGCGGCCTAGTGGCATCCTCTTCTCTTCTAGATGTCACTAGAAGTATCACTTAGCAACTTACTTCTAATGAATAGAAGACAGCAAATGTAGTGGATGTCATTTTTGGATTAGGTTATAAATGATGGTGATTTCTGTGTTGTTCAGTTTCGAGATCTCTCACTCGTTTGCTCTGATGAAGCCTTTGAGCTGCCATGTTTCAAGCTTCCCAATGGAGAGGCCCACATGGTGCGAAGCTATTGAATCACATAGCTAATGCCTTCAGGCAATAGCCAGTGAGGGACTAAAGCCCTTAGATCAACAGCCCTTAAGGAGCTAAATCTGGCCAACAAGCTTGTGGTCAGCTTGGACATGACTCTTCCCTCAGCCTAGCCTGGAGGTGGCTCTAGTCCTGGCTGACACCTTGATTTCAATCTTGCAAGATTCTAAGCTCTTGCTCAGAGCTAAGGTATACTAAACTTTTTATCCTAGAAGACATGAGATAATAAATGTTTGTTTCTTTAAGCCGCTAAATTTTGGGGGTAATTTGTTACATAGTGATAAATAACTAATACATATTTCATTATTGTTAATTATCTTCATTAGAAAAAGGAGATGGATCATCTCCAGGAGAAAGTAGGGATTTGGTTATATCTACATGGACACTGGGAGGCTTATCACCCTCAGCCTTGAATCTCTCCTCCGACCCTTGAACAGTTAACCATCAGAAGCTGAGAAATGGGTGAGGATAGTATCTAACTTTAATTCAGTGTGATCTTAAGGGACTGAAAATGCCTTTGCAAAGATTAGAGAGTGAGAGAAATCTGGCATGGTTGACTCCATCTTGCCTCTAACCTCACAGGCTACCTGTCTTCACTTATTTCTGGGCATAGGCCAAGCCAATCATGAGAGGAGTTTAGTTTATATTTTAACTTCGAAGTAAGGATGATAATAATCGCTCCCTAAAACTAACCCCCTCCTTGCTCAGGGACTGAAGCCACCTTTGTAAAATTAATGAAAGTCCTATGGACTATAGGTTAGGATTATAGGATGGGCTTGAATTATGCTAAAATGCAGATGTGGTTTTGATAATTCCTTACTATTCAGGAGTCAGGTGGCCAGAGGTCACAAGATTTGTAATTTTCCCAATTGCTGTATAGATATCAGCACTATTGTAGAACCTAATATTCATCTTTTGAGATATTTTTCATACTTTCACATCCTGGCAACCAACTGACCCCACCTGGACCAAAGATTCATGACTCAACTGGTCCTGTGGCCCCCATCTAGAGGCAGACTCAGTGCATGGGGCCATTTTCCATATCTCGATGATTTCACCCCCCAACCAATCAGCAGCACCCAATCCCTAGCCCCTGCCCACCAAAGTATTTATAAAAACCCTGGCTTCTGAAGTTTTCAGAGACTCATTTGAGTAATAATTCCACCTAGCCCACTAGGCAAACTCCTAGTCCAGGAGTTTGAGACCTGGCTAACAGGGCAAAACCCAATCTCTACTAAAAATACACAAAATTAGCAGGGCATCGTGGCTCACACCTATAGTCCTATAGTACCAGCTACTCGGGGGATTGCAGCAGGAGGATTGCTTGAGTCTGGGTGGGGGGTGGTCGTTGAGGCTGCAGTGAGCCCTGATCGTGCCACTGCACTCCAGCCTGGGCGACAGAGTGAGACCCTGTCTCAAAAAAAAAAAAAAAAAAAAAGACATTTAAGCTACTAAGTGTGTGACAATTTGTTACAGCAGCAATGAGAAACCAGTGCAGAAGGGTCTGTCCTTTCTGCTGGGGTTGCTGGGCTGGTTGATGTGGAGCTCATCATGAGAAGGGGAGCACTGCTGGAGATAAAGCCATCGAAGAGGAAAGCAATGTTGAGAGGCAGTCAGACACATCGTGTGAGCCCCTGGGTCCAGCTGCATCTAAAATAAACTTCCTTTTGTGTTTAAGCTTGTTTCTGTCATTTGCAGCCACCATGGTGATGAATAATGCAAAATGTATCCCCATTAGGCAGTCACTGGCAGTGCTGTGCTCAGTCCCCTGAATGCCTTGCCCTTCAGAGCACATGACTGACAGTCAAGCTGGCATCTGCATTTGGGCTCTCTCTGCCCCTGCTCTACTGCTCTGTGGCAGGCCAGGAGCACAGAGAAAGTAACATCTCTTGGGAACAACCCTCAATCAACGACTGCTGTCTGAGTACCCAGCTCCCTTGCCCTTTGGGTCTGAGGCCTGCGTCATCTACACTGGCTTCTGTTCCCCAGTGGGATTCAGCTGTAGTTGCCCAGAGTGGAAATGGGCTCACCTTTCACTGGCTGCCTTCCTGTCCTTACCTCACTCCTCTCCTGGTGTTTCTTGAGATTACAGTTGTCTAGGAGTTGTAGACCAGCCTGGGCAACACAGTAAGACCCCCATCTCTATAAAAAAATACAAAAATTAGCTAGGTGTGGTGGCTCATGCCTGAAGTCTTAACTACTCAGGAGGCTGAGGCCAGAGAATCGCTTGAGACCAGGGGGTTTGAGGCTGCAGTGAGCTGAGATCATGCCACTGCACTCCAGCCTGGGTGACAGAGTGAGACCCTGCTTCTTAAAAAAGAAAAAAAAAAGCAGAGACCAAGGAGAACAGGGAGTTTCATGGGAGATGAGTTTGGAAGAGGATGCAGGGATATCATGCAGGACCCCCTGGGCTGAATAAGGATTGGATCTTTATCCTAAGTGCAATGGGGGAGCCACTGAAAGGCTTTAAATTGAGTTTCCTGCCACAGAAGCCAGAACGAGTCTGACCACAGCAGGCCTGGGTCTTGTAAGCATGTTTTCATGCAGATTGCTAAGGCAAGGGCTCAGATGAATTTGGTAACCATAGAGACAACTATGTGGACACTAACAATTATGATAATGAAGCCACAAACTTGGGAAACTGGGAGTTATAAATATAATTGGTTCTGGGTAGGTTTTGAGTAGTCTGGGCTGATGAAAGGTGCTAGAAACCACATTATGCCAACAGAAAGGGTCTTATGTTTGAAAAAGCGACCTGCCTCGTGTATGAATGAAACCTAAGGACTGCAGAGCTCAAGGCATTGGTATCATAGCAACCCTCAGACCAAAGGGGCTTTTCTTTGGTATTTCAAACAGTACCCCAATGACTGGGGGGTGGAAGGAAGGAAAATGAACACATAAAGAGTGTCTGCTATCCACCAGGCACCCTTATGTTGAACATCTTGTTTAATTTTTATAACCACTTGCCAAAGTAGAACCAATTATCCCCATTCTGAAGATGATGAAACTGAAATTCAGCAAAATGATGTTGGTGGGTGTCACAGTGTGCCAGCCATTTGTGGCTGCCTTTCCAATAGCTATGCCCAGCTTCCTTGCTCGTTGCTTGTAGAACACATCTCCATCTTCAAAGGCTGAAGATGCCAGATCCTCACTTTTCCAGCTTCCTCTGTAGCTAAGCCAAAGACACATGAGTCAACTGTGACCGATGCC